ATTTTTACACCTTGGGTTGTGTGTGTGGTGTGTGTGCCCCCAACTCCCTTTTTTTTTTTTTGGGGGGGGGGGGTTGTGCTCGTGGACGCGCGACGTCGTGCGATTAACCACCGCACTACTAGTACTTGGCCAAATTTATTGTCGGGGGCCCGGCGAATGAGGTTGGTGTTTGCCCTCTGAGAAGGTGGGCGTGCCTCTTGACCTTGCTCAGCGGGGTCCCCTGTCCCGAACGGACGTGGGGGGGGGGGGGTCTGTTTCGACATCTCTTCTGCCTCGCCTATCCCGCTTGACCTTACTCCCCCCGCTCCCCCACCCCCCACCCCCCCCGTGGCAGGTTACCGTATCCGGGGGTGCCCCGGCGCAAACAAAGACCAAGAGCATGTACGGAACGCGTTCCTCCATGGCGCCGAATTGGAGAACCCAGCTGTGGGTGCCGGTGTCCATCCCGAGCATGTCGGGGTCGGTTAAGACGGTCGTCAAGGACTGGGACTCGATGACGGAGGATGAGGTACTGCGGTAGGGAGTACTCAAGCCACGATCAGCAAGTGCGGTGTTGGAGACAACGGAGAGAGATGTTTACGCGCATGTGTATTTGTTTTGGCTGCTGCTTCGTTCGTGCCCAGACTGTGTACACTCGCTGCTGTTTTGTGTGTGCGCTGCTTTGCTTGTTGTGTTGGTGAGTTTTTTATTGCCCCGTTATTGTCACCGCAGCCGGCGCTAAGCCGCTAAATCCGTTGTAAACACATTTCCTTTAACTCTTACAATACATTCGTTGTGCGCGCTTGATGTTATCTTCCGTTTCGGACGGGGGAACGGCGACGACGGACGGCGGCAGACGGTGGCGTCCGTGAACTGCAAGCTGAAGGAGATCGAGGGCCTGCCGGACAGGCGGCACGGGCCGCGGTGGTTCCCACTCTACGGAGCCCCCCTTGTCATCCCGACCAGCACCGACATCGCCGAGATCGCCAAGAGGATGGCCGCCGGCGAGGTACGTATACTGTAACAGGCGCACGATTTTTTTGGGGGGGGGGCAGGATGCCACACGGGGCAAGCGGAAGGTGGTACGCCGCCGCTTTCACGGCGCGGAGCGATGATGTGCGCCACAGACAATGGTTGGCTGGTTGAGAGTTGCCTGTAGAGATTGTGGATGTGATTTTTGTTTTGCGGGTGTACGGACGGTGGTCGTGGCGATTGACGGTCCATTGGTACAACGGAGTGCGGTGACGGTCGTGTCATGGCAAGGGAGCGGCGTCGGTGTTTGCAAGCGTTCGGTAGTACAGGTAGGACATGGTCACACATAGCATGGACACACCGCGGTCTCGTACCGCCCTCTTCGTGACGGACTCCCCCCCCCCACCCCCCCTATCCGTTCCATGTCCCCCCCCTTATCCGTGCCGTACAGGCGACGACGAACTGGCGAACCTTGTACGACAACCTGCCGCAGAAGGGGTCTACCTACCGGGGGCGTTTGCTTCTTTCGAGGGAGATAAGAGAAAGCCTGCCGATAGGGAGGGAAGAGGTCAGTTCCTATCGATTTCGTTTTCATTGTGTGTTTTTTTTTAATTCAAAGAGACAAAATTTTCTATTTGCGGAGAGTGTCCCCCTTGCCGGATTTTTTTTTTTTTTCCCGATGATCCTTATTATAGTTATCTTTCTGATAGGGGTGGAATTTTTTTCAAGTTTCGATTGCGGGTAGTGCGAGCGAAACCGTGGTGTTTTTGACGCATTGGGCGCTGCGTTGTGCAAGGGCAACTGCTGTTAACACCCCATAGCAGAACGCCGACGTGGGGTTGTTGCACACGAGCGTCTGGCCTTTGCTGTCGCATGGGTAGTGGTAGGCTTGGTCCTGAACGCTATTTGCTACAAGGTATTAAATAATAGTTTGCACAATATGAGATTAGAGCACAGCAGTACTGTACGCTCCGATGACGGTGCATCAAACAACGAGCACGCGTGCACCCGTCGTCCACAAATGAGCCCCCGCCCCGTCGGGATGTGATATCGATAGGATGGGATAAGGAAACCGTTTTTGAGCCACCTTATGCCTAGCAGAACGGAACGATTGGCCATCTGTGATCGGTCCTGTGGGAACATTGCTCCGTCCTCTCGAGGCTAAGGCATGAAAAAATGTACGACCCCCCTCCTTAACACCATGCAACAACAATCACACACACACGAACCCCCCCCCCCCCCCCCCTATGAATAAAGCACGCCATGGCGGCCCAAGGGGGGCCGATTGCCCAAAAAGAAGGAGCCTTCCACCACCAGGGTCGCCATGCGGTGCTACGTTGCCACGGGGGCGGACATCCCCTGCCAGGCCTCGGTCATCCGCATGGGCCTAAACTTCAGGATGTCAGTCAGGATCAGCATCGGCTCGGAGGTTCTAGAAACCAGGGCGGTCGAGAACGCCAGCGGGGTTTGCGAGGTGAATGGGGGGGGAGGGGGGGGGGGGGTTTTTTTTTT